TTCCGATCTCCCCAAAACCCCAAAACCCCATAAGTCTGAATTTCAAAATATGATAGCAGGTATTAATATTCACAAATCTATAATATTCTGATCGTCCTTTTTATTTTCATCTGCTGCCTCGGTTTCAATTTCAACTCCTTTGAGAATTTATTGGATAAGATTTGGCACAAATTCTTTTGATTCCTTATCGTATAAGAGAAGATCTTTTTGGAATTCATTTGTTTAAATCATTATAGGGTAATAATATGACTAAATTAAAGTTAGTTATTATGATTTTTAAAGAATATACTTACGATTAGACTGGTTGCTTTTATACCTGTTTATTTTTGGAATGTAATTACTTCCTCTCTTGTCATAGGCCTAAGAAGTTCATTAAGATTTCAGATAAACATACTTTAGATTTTTTATGAAAATGATACTATTCCTGCCAATTCTATAGTTAATTCTAATCCTCTTTCCATCACTAAGCAAAAATATTCCTTTTGGAATAAATTTTGACAAATTAAGGTAAGCATTAAAGAAGTTGTATATTGCAAAATAGCCCCCAAATAAAAAAAGACCTCTAAAATATTTTCTTTGATTCCAAATCAACTATTTTAACTTATAGAGAGTGTAAAGAGTTAACCCTATGAATAAGTAAGCATAAGTTCGGAGTGAAAGGTATTTTTCTAAATTTTATACAATAAGCATTTCTTCTTTTGAGTCAAAATTCAATTATTATCTTGGAATAAACTTGGCCTACTCTTCTTATTGTGAAAACTTTCTAGTAGTTAATTTTATAAAACTGGTACTCCTTGCATCTCTAGGTTTGATATTTCTCATATAGATTGATTTAGTTTGGTTAAAGCACAGAATTTATTTAGTACTTGGAGATCTGATAATAGAATCTTCTATAATTCTATTTCTCAACATTAATTTCATTTTTAACCTTAAACAATTATATATTATATGTTTTTTGTATTTTGATTGCAAATTTTATTGATGGGGTTTTGGGGTTTTGGGGTTTTGGGG